CTTTGTTTTTAGTTTCGGCAACTTATTAACTTATTTTTCATATTGTAATATATACATTTTCTTAAAATGAACTTATATTATAATATAAAATATATGAAATTAAGAAAAGGTAAACTAATTAAGAAATTGGAAGATATGGTGTGAATTTTTTTAAAAAAATAAGTTTCATTAGTGATTGGATCCACAGTTATGGTGAATAGTGATGTGTACTAGCGTAAAGAAATAATGAAGTAGGTCCTCTTTCTAAAACTATGTCGTTTTTGTTTTAAGTTATCACACTTATATGTTTTTTTTATTTTAGGAATGACGATAATAGATTATAATTGATACTCTATCCGTTTCGCAATAGTTATCGTTTAATGTTTTTGCACACAAATTACAAAAAATAATTATTAAAGTTTTTATATTTATCATTTTCATTATTTTTAGAAAAATTATTGGTCAAAACATTAAAAGAATATAATAAAATTGTAACTTTTACAAATATTTGCATTAAAAATCTAGAATGACAACTAATTTGAAACAAAATTTTAACTCTAGAACAAAAAGTAATATGGAATAGATAAAATAACTTAGGATTTTTTTTTCTTGACAAACAGCTTTTGTTTTCATTCAATCAACCGAATAAAGGATTACAAAATTTAGAGTATTTTTCAAAGCAAAGATTGATACAACAATAAAAGCACCAAATCACATAACCAATGAGCGATAATAATTCATTAGTCCAGAACTAGAGTTTGTGCCTTTGTGGTTACCCACAAAATGATCCAAATGTTAAGTTTTCAATTTGGATATGTATGCATTACGATATGTCATGTTTTTAATTTGGACTTCCACATCAATCAAATCTGGTATGTGTTTTTTTTATTTATTTTAAATATAAGAATGTTTGCATTAGGATATGTCATGTTTTATTTTATGTATAATTTCATACTAATATAATAGATGGTTTATATTACAATCTAATTTTAGTTGAATATACATGTCTATATGCATTTGAGATTAGCAAAACGGTAATAATTATTTCTCAAAAATTGAAACACCAAAAACGAATGCAGTGATTGTTGGTAAAAATACGGCTTTCATCATTCATAGTGAATGATTCACTCCTTTAGTCGGTTCGGTGTTGTTTTGTCGTCGAGGCGTCAAATTCTAACAGTCGTGGTTGTTACTAAGTGTTAACAGCTCAATTGGTAAAACTTTCTGTTAAAAGTTTAGAGGTCGCCGGTTCGAGTAGCGTTTGAGACGAGACAATATAACACGTTATACGAATCGTGCTGACATTGAATCTCATCTGCCAAATTTCATCCCAACTCTCAGAAAACAAATTCACAATTCGCATATATATAAAAAAGCAATGAAACTTTATTATATAAAATAGCTTTTATTTAGTTTGATATATATATTGCCTTGTATACAAAGCTAACTTTATATAAAAGAGATTTATTTAGTTTGATATTCCCCTTTGGATACAAAGCTATAACTTTATATAAAAGAGTCTTATTTAGTTTGATATTCCCTTACTGTTCGGATACAAAGCTGCATTATCATTATCCTCCGATCCTTAAGAAGCAGCATCAAGTAAGACGTTGTAACCAAAGGGCTGTTGCTTGTAGCAATCGAGATTTTCTCCAGGATCAACACCAAACATGTTACAGTACGTCTCATAATAGTTTATACGATCCTTAACATTCGGGTCTTGGTCAATTCCACACTCATATCCACCGTTAATAATATTCGTAAGCAATCCATATCCCGGAAGCCTACCCGCGGCACGGTCGGCGTAAGAAGGCTGCCACTGGTCGGTGATCACCGCGTGGCACGACGGTTTGGGATACTGAGGAGTCATCCAGAACCAAATCGCGGTTTTGAAAGCGATCACTGCATCGTTGGCCACAATGTTTGGGTTGCTGAGTAAGTCAACTCCTATGTCTCTCCCGCATTGACCGTAATTGTAGTTCCACAGCAGCTGCATCGGTCCTCTTCCGTAGTAGCTTGCATTATATGCGCATGGCCACGTGTAAGACTGTCTCTGATCACAGTAGGTTGAAGGAGGATCCAATTGTTCCTTGTAACAGTATCCCCATGAATATGGTCCGTCCGGCGCTCTCCCTGAACATTATATAATTTAACAGTCCATTTTATCAATATATTATTTTTTGGCAACAAATAAAATTATTCTCACAACTCTAAATTAATATAGGATTAATTGGGGTTTTAGTATATTTTTGAAACATAATTTTAGAAGTAGTACATTCACTATTTATTATTGAGAATTTTTGAGAAATAACCTTTTTGGTGTACCCCTTTTTAAAAATACCCCCTTTATCTATCCATTTTCAAAAATACCCTTATTTAAATAGAAAAAATTTATAAAGTTTTATATAGTTTATAAGATACTTCTATATAATAACTACTACTGGGAGATTCGATAAAAATATTTAAAAATGTTTTAAATAGTTTTAAATCTTTTTTATAAGTTTTATAAGATTTTTAAAAGGGTTTATACAGTTTTTAAAAGGTTTTTATATGGTTTTTATAATTTATTTTCCTGCTCTATATGAAAGTTATATAAAATTTTATACACATATAAAGGTAATTTGTGTATATATTTATAAGCTTACATACATATTTGGATAAATTTCAACATTTTTAATCGTTTTTTTGATAAAGTTTGAAAAGGGGGTATTTTTAAAAAGAGGTATATGAAAATGGGTATTTTTGAAATTCCCCGTTTATTATTAGCAAAGTAATACATTTTTACTATTTGGCAAAACCCCTTAAATCTAATAACTAAAATATTCATCAAAATATATCTGTTTTCTATAAAATTTAAGTTACATAAAAATTTATAATTTTTCTCTATAATTTGATATGCAATTTTTTTTTATAATTTCAAATATTTTTCAAACAAATTTTGATACGTCCAGCTATTCTTATGTACGGTTGTGTGTCGATGTACAAAAAATCATCCGTACAACGATCTATATATACGTATAATTGTATGTGTACATATATTTTCTGGTCTATATATGTATATTTGTTTATGTGTAAATATGTTTTTTTGTAGTTATTTCTCTTTATACAAATATTCTATGTACAATAATATGTTACTGTACAGTTATCTGTTTGTACATATATCTGAAATAGTAATATTGTGCTATTTTTCTAATTATGAATAGTAAATATACAATCTTTATAATTATGTTTCAAAAACGTACTATATAGTTTGCCAACACACCCATTAATATATTATTTATAGGTACGTTTGAGTTTTTTACATGATCTCTTGTAAGATTATTAGAAAAAAGAATGCAAACTCAAAACGTATAATAAGTTGCGTTTTATAAGTCTGATATATATTAATTATAATGGTGATTATAACCTGTGGTTTCGTGGGATGTCTGGCCGAAGAAGGCAGCGACCTCCTTCTTCCTTGCGGCTGTGTCACCCGTAGTGCCAAAGTCAGGGAAGGACTTTGCAGCAGTGATAAAGGCGTCGTAAGTGTAGAAACCTTTAGCCGGACATAGATAATTGTTCCTATGGAGAAGCATATCTTCGAACTGAGCTTTTGAAATGGTGTCCGAAAGATTACCGCTAACGTCGGGCCAGCAATTGCTTTGGCATTCAGGCAGCTCACAATATAGTTCGTTGTCACCACAATAGCCGTACTTGCTGCAGCATAGACCGTTGAGGCAGATCGCTCCTCCGGCTTGTTTACCACATTCCGCGGCAAAGGACAATGATAAGAAAAGTGAGAAGATGATGAAGGAGAAAATATAGGGTTTCATTTTGCTCATGTTTTTATGGTTCTTATTTGTGTAAGTAAGCAAGGAGGGAAGGGGGTAGTGGGATATATAGTAGTTTAGTACATGCAATCAATGGTACGTTTTATCACATAAAATTTCCATTGCTAGATAATGTGTGTGGAGTGTTCACTGGCCGACATATATTAACGATGGTGTCAAATGATCCTCCACTAAAGTCACGAGAGTTGCAAGATATTGGTCCCCTCTGATAATGTAAGAAACTGCCAACAACAGTGAAACGTACGTAAAACGTGAGAAACGTTAGGGCATCCACATTGGTAAGACTCAATATTGTCCCAGTTTTTTTTTTTTTTTTTTTTTAAAACAGAAAAAAAAACATAAATACAATCAATCGCTTACCGCCACGTGTCAGTGGAACCCGCGAATAGTGACAAACAAGAGGAAGGACCGTCCCGTTTCTGGGTACATCCCGCTTAATTTTTTTTTTCTTTTCTTTTGGGTGTGGAACTGGGCCTAGATACCATTGCCCATGGTCTTACAGCCTATCATAACAATATTATAGTATTATTTTTTTTATAGTTTAATTATAGAATTATTTTTTAAACAATCAGAATAATCCGTTCAATAATATATGGACATGTGGCGGTAGTGTTACAGAAAGTGTCTCATTGTATCTCAAACGAGAAATGTTTGTCTTTTATTTTCATTTAATTTTATTTTTTAATTGTTGTGATACTCTTCCTAAAACTACTAATGGAGCTGCTTAGGCTGTACTGACTGCTATTTGTTGTTGGAGAGATGATTATGAATGGGTTCTTAACACATAGTTTCATAATATCAACACATTGTTAAAAGACAACTTAACTTTGTTGGTACTAGCTAAGTCTGAAGATAAGTCACGGGCATTACAAAAAATTGGTACCTTTATAAGGAAATGTGAGAAACTGCCAAGCCACCATAGTACCATTACCATACATAAAACGTGCTTACAAGGACAACTAGTTTTTTCTTTTTTTTTTGTCATCATCTAAATAATACTACCAGTGTCTTATTTTATTTGGAATTTGTTATAAAACATAACCCAAATCATATAGAGAAAATAACATTCACACCTACTTGTGTGAGAAAAACTCACAAACACACCCACTTTGTGGGGAAGGTATACTTTTAAGAGTTTTGGTGTTGGTTTGTGTTTGTTGAAAAGTCTATATTGTCCCTCTGTACATTTTAATGGGTGTTTGTTGAATTTAATCTGAGCCATTGGATTGGATCTGACGAAAACATATCTAACGCCCACGTTTTGAAGTAGTTCAACCTTAACGATGTTGGTTAAGGCTAAAAATCTAGTTAGCAATCATTTTTTGTAGCTAATATAAAGGATGTTTTTGGTTTAGGGTTTTGTTTCTGTGTTTGGGTAGCCATGGCTGCGCAGGTACCGATTTTGTGGATAGGGTTCTTCCATGTTCGTGGATGGTCATAGATTCTATACTGATTAACCTTTTTCTGATTTGCAGGGTGAGCTTCCAGGTTTTTGTGTGGTGGTTTCTGGGCAATGGTTGTTTTCTGGCGTAAATGTCTGTGATTTCGAAGTCGACCAGATTTTGCTGTCGAGGATTGTTCCGCTAGCAACCACAAAACTAGAGGAGTTCGAAGCTGCTGTTGTCTAGGAATTTTCTTTGGTTAACAAGAAGGCGTGTTTGAGCTACTGTCTGCCAAGTAGCTTGCAAGTTCAGAACGGTGGGAGGTCACCTCCTGTTATGGTCACTACAGATGTCGGGCTAGCTTACTACGTCCAAATGTTGCGTGGTAACAGAGGTTTCAATATGTTTGTGAGTTTTGAGGAAATTAGAAAGAGAGGACAAAGAGAGAGCGATGTGGAAACAAAGTTTAGGCAGACTTCTGGGGATGGTGGAAGAAAAAGGAGTTGTGGCACTTCATGCGGTGGAACGAGAAGCGAAGCTGGAGAGGAGGTGTGTGGAGAAGTGTCAACCGCCGGTTCCAAAACATTTGTTATTGATGTAACGCAGGAAGATGAATGTTTCCTCGAAGAAGTGACGGAAGCTGAGGTCAAATGGAAAGAAGATTTGAGAAAAAGTGTTGACCGTGGGCAAGAACCTGAAGAAGACTTTGCAGATATTGTTGAAGAGGAAGTTGTTGTTACGCCTAAAGAGTATGATACCGAATTTTGGGGTAATTTCATAGGTGATCAGTTTGGGCGTGTCAATGTGTTAGAGGTTATGTGTAACCTAAATACTGGTTCTGATTCCTTGAATGGGGCTATTCCATTGAAAGAGGAGTTTAAGGGCAATATCATTGGGGAAGGACAAAAATCTGTTCCTGTACAGGACTCAGTTGGACCGGAAATAGGATCCACTTGGACAGAGCAACATGGATACACTCGTGCCCCTGGTAGTGTTCCTATGAAATTGGAGGATTATGACGATGCTGAGTTTGATTTACCTCCTCTGTTTGACGACACTGAATATGAGGGTGAAGAAATACCCGATCTGGACCTTGATGATGATGGTGAAGGTATATACAAAGGGAAAGTATTCGCAAGTAAAGAAGAATGCCAGATTGGTATTGCTATTTATGCTATCAAAAAAATGTTTCATTTCACGCAGACCACAACAAAGAAAGACTCGTTTGTGCTGGAGTGTACTGGGGAGCGTTGTGATTGGAGAATATTAGCATGTGAGCTCAAGGGATGCGGTTACTATGAGATTAGAAAAGCTTGTTTGGAACACACTTGTCCTATTGAAACCAGGAACAACTATATGAAAAAGGCTACGTCAAGAGTAATTGCTGCTATGTACAAGTCAAAGTACAGCGATGCAAGTAAAGGTCCCGCACCTTTGGATCTTCAGCAGATGTTACTTGAGGATCTTCGTGTTTCTGCATCATACAGCAAATGTTGGAGAGCTAAGGGGAAAGCTGTTGAAGATCTATTTGGAGCAGAGGATGAGTCCTACGACAAGCTAGAGTCATATTTGTTTGCATTGAAACAAGCAAATCCCGGGACGGTAACGGAATTGAAAACTGTATTTGAGGAGGATGGCAGTGAGAGGTTCTTGTATATGTTCCTAGCATTTGGAGCATCAATCCAAGGCTTTAGGAATCTGCGTAGGGTGATTGTTGTTGATGGAACGCATTTGAATGGGAAGTTTAAGGGCGTCCTACTAACAGCGAGTGGGCAGGATGCTAACTTCCAGGTATTCCCACTTGCTTTTGCAATAGTAGACAGTGAGAACGATGAGTCGTGGACGTGGTTTTTTGAAAAGCTTGAGCGAATAATAGCAGACAGTAAAAGCTTGACAATAATTTCTGATAGACATGGTTCCATTTACAAAGCAAAGAAGAGTGTTTTCCCATTGGCGCATCATGGAGCTTGCATTGTACATCTAGCTAGGAACGTGAATGCGAAGTTCCACAACAAAGGCCTGGCAAAACTGGTAACAAAAGCTGGTTTTGCGTATAAAATCACTGCTTACAAGGAAATTTACAATCAGATCAAGAGTAGGAATTATAACTGCGCAACATATTTGGATAAAATTGGAGCGGCGCATTGGACTAGGGCGTATTTTCAGGGCGATAGATACAACCTGATGACTTCAAACATTGTTGAATCATTGAACAAGGTATTGGGAAAGGCTAGGTCTTCACCAATCATCGAACTGTTGAAGTACATCCGGGCTTTGTTGAGCAGATGGTTTAGTGCAAGGAGGAAGAAGGCAGAAAGACACATTGGCAGAGTAAGTCCCGAGGTTGATAAACAGATGACGAAGAATTTGGTGGCCGTGAAAGGTAGCAAAATTGGAGTTATATCAAGTTGGAGCTATGAAGTGATAGGGGCGCTAAATGGCAAGCATCATGTTTTACTCGATATGAAACAATGTGCTTGTAAGCAGTATGATAGAGTGAAAATTCCTTGTGGGCACGCTTTGTTGGCGGCTAATAGTCAAGGTATCCCGTTGGACAGTTTGGTAGGGGATTATTACAAGACATACATGTGGAGAGGTACATATGCATGCTTAATAAATCCTGAGATGAGTGAGGTTGAATTACCTATTGAATTGGTAAACCGAATCCTTTTTCTGCCTAAAGCACGTCGACCCTCAGGACGTCCAAAAGAACTGAGGATTCAGTCGACTGGTGAATTTGGGGTAAGTGTTGGGATTTCATTTTTGTTTGGGATGGGGATAGTTTTGTGTTGGTTGTATTATTAAGGACGATTTTGGTTTGTCTTTGGTTTTGTTTGAGTGCAGAAAATAGGTGGAGGTAAAGTGAAAGTAAACCGTTGTGGGAGATGCAAGAAGACTGGCCACAACAGAGCAAGTTGTTCAAACCCGTTGCCATGATTGGCAGTTCTTAAGTTATTTTGGTGTTCTGTGGATGGAAATTTTTTGGTGGTATCCATAGTTCATTTAGGTTTCTAAACGTTATCGGTATATATTCCAAAAGGGTTAGCCTTGTTGGATACGTTTAAGGTTCGGTCAGTGACCATATTCATATGTAATTTTTTGGGCTAAATATTATCCATAAGGGATGAGCTTGGTGGATGCGGCTGTAATGTCTGATTGAAAGTTTGCAGCGAGATGGATATACGCTGCCTGTTTCAATCGATATGAATATGAATGTTTCAATATCCATATAGCTATCAATGTTTCAATATCCATATAGCTATCAATGTTTCATGTTTTATTATCAGAAATCCATATAGCTATCAATGTTTCAATATCCATATAACTATTAATGTTTCACTTAAGATTTGTTATCTGTAATTTGCCTACTTAGGATGAATACGTGTTCACATGCCTATCCATAATGTATCCACACCCCGATGGATATTTGGATATATGAGTGTTTCAGGGGGGGGGGGGACATTATGAGTACAAATGACTATGAATATGTAGAGGGATTATAAGATAAAATTATTCGTGGTTATTGGTGATGAATTGTCTACTGATTTGGGGGATCGGAGTAATATGAATATATGGATGGAGCATAATACACTGTTTCACAACTGTTGGTCGTGGATACTACACTGTCTCATAATCTATAGATCATGTTCAAATGACTTAGATTGTGTGGATACATTGAAACAATACTTCTAGTTGTGGAATACATGACGACAGTGGGGTACATTGGTACGTGGATCACGCCAGGTGGTTGATCTTCGGCAACGTGGGCACCTAGGTCTAGAGAGTAGTCTTCTGCTCCGCCGATCATCAATCTCCTCACCCTCGCTTGCTGCCTCATCTAGTAATTCCTTGGACCAGCTTCCTCCAACGTAACATCGATCGATGAGCCGAGTAAAAGCTACGTCTTCATTCCTCATTGCCCACACGGCGTACGGATTGCGTCGTCGAAGACATTTGCAAAAGAAGGAGTAGTATTTGGAATGCGGCATTGTCCACCACATGAAGTGTGGGGCTTTGTCTAAACGAACATGTGATAAACATTCGTTAGAATAAACAGCATCCTTGCCTTCTCTTCCAGCCTTTAGCAAGTTCTTTAATGCGTCCACACCATCTTCCCCAAGATACATGGCTACTTTTGCAAGCAAGGAGGAAGGCATGTGAAAAACCCTGCTGAGTTGAATAGACTAACCAGAAGATGGTATTAGTAAACGAATAAAAATAGAGAGTCTGAATGAAAAAAAAATACCGGTAGAGTTATAACCTGATGACTTTGTGGCTTGGATCCATGTTGTGTAAGCGTCGCCATTTTTTTTTTCCTGATTGACGAAGAGCTTCTAAAACATTTTACAACATAATGTCTGTACTCCTCGAGGAGAAAGTATATTAGTAAAAAAGAAGCCTATAAGATATTCATGTGGTTGTGTCCATGACCATCAGTTGAATGCCCAAAATAAATGCACAGTAGTCCTTAGCCGTAGCTAATAGTTGTGGAAAACAGCTGGTGTGATGTGACGTGGGTCGTGAAAACACAACGGGTAAAAATAAGAACAGAAAGGTTTTGGAATCGGGAATCGAGAGGGTGACAACCCACGTTGTACCTCAAAAGTAGAGTCCTGCTGTGGATTCGAAAACATTTGACAACATAATGTCTGTACTCCTCGACGAGAAAGTGTATTAGTTTAAAAAACCCTATAAGATATCCATGTGTCCATGACCATCAGTTAAATGCCCAAAAAAAATGCAGAGTAGTTCTTAGCCGTAGCTAATAGTTGTGGAAAACAGCTGGTGCGATGTGACGTGGGTCGTGAAAACACAACGGGTAAAAGTAAGAACTGATAGGTTTAGGAATCGGGAATCGAGAAGGGTGACAACCGACGTTGTACCTCAAAAGTAAAGTCCTGCTGTGGATTCGACGTGAAGTCCGACTTTAGTATGTGGTGCTTTGTTATCTGTTGGATAAACCTTTGAAATGGACACTCAAAGAGTATCCCATCTGGGCAGGACGAAAAGTTTTTAGATGCAGGATTATGACAGGGTGGCCATGTGGATATGGTGAAAAAATTTCTTGTGGATTCAGGTTGATTTAAAAGGTTTTTGTGAATTGATGTTGCTAAGTCTGCAGATAAAGCTTACCACCAATACATGAAATAGGTTTCTAAAACATTTTTCTAAAACATGAAATAGGTTTCTAAAACATTTTGCTAAGTCTGAATTTAAAAGGTTTTTGTGAATTGATGTTGCTAACCACCAATACATGAAATAGAAATGAACATTTAACAGATAAAGCTTACTCTAATATTACATTAAACATTAAACTGCCACAAATCGATGCTAGTTGCGGCGTACTCGTGCAACGGAACAGCCTGATGGGTGGTGTGCAATTCTTCTGCAACGGGGGCAACGTGGTCTTCCGATTAAAGGACGACGTGGAGGAGGTAGCAAGCAATCCGTTTGATCCTCTAGATCATAAAGTTTTAAAGAGACACCATGTCCATGTGGATAGAAGTCATTAACAAAAGTAAAAAAAAATTAGAAAAAGAGATATACCTCATTGGTTTCTAAAGATGCTTGGTCATGGTTACCATCAGTAGCCAATCCTGCGTTATTGTCCACATCGACTTCCTTCGTATGGACAACATCAGGGGACGTATTGGACTCAGGCAGAAGCGTATCGCCTTTGCCAACCTGATTGATAGGAGGTTCATGTGAACTATCAGTTCTCTAGCATCCATGTGGATGTAATACTGTGGACTGAGGGATTTTGTATGACGTCCATAAAAAAAAAGAGAAGAAAAGATAGACAGGGATATACCTCACTGTTTTGTGGCGATGCTTGGTCATGGTTACCATCAGTAGCCAATGCTGCGTTATTGTCCACAGCCATTTCCTTCGTATGGACAACATCAGGGGACGTATTGGACTCAGCCTGAAAACTATCCCCTTTGCCAACCTGATTTATAATCCATGTGGACTATTAGTGATTTATAATCCATGTGGATGCAGTACTGTGGACTGCGGGTTATTGTATGACATTCATACAAAGAAAAGAGAAGAAAAGATAGACGGGGATATACCTCATCGGTTTCTGGAGATGTTTGGTCATGGTTACCATCAGTAGCATAACCTGCAATATTGGACTCAGACGCAAGATTATCCCCTTTGACAACCTGATTGAGCGGATGTTCAGTGATTGTGATCCATGTGTATTAAGTAGTGAGGGTTATTGTATGACATAGAAAATAAAATAAAAACCTCATTCATGTCTGAAGCTCCTTCTTCATGGTTAGATGTAGAGTACACATCAGTTGGGAATACCTCTAAACCATTGCCTTTCTCAGCATCAATATCCAAAAGGGGGGGTTCTCCATTGTCTCTCTGTAGGAAGATTAAGAGTTATTGACCAAAGCAAATGCCATATAAACACAATGTTAGATTAAAAACCTTGTTTACTTCCAAGTTTGCATCATCCGGCAAAAATTTGGGTACATCCACCAGGGGGGGGTTAGAAGTCTCAGCCAAGTCATCGTGGTTGATAACCTTGACCTGCGGATTGGGGAAATTGACAATAAACAGGTGTTAACATGAATTTTAAGATGTAATAACCAACTACAAATAGGGGATCATAGTGTACTGACTTCTTTAGTGTCATTTTTTTGGGGAGTATTGGCTTTCAAGGACCCAATGATATCTTGTAATAGTGCGGTGTATTGCGTATGTACACCGGATGGGTCTGTGGAGATGCTTGGGTCCAAAAGATGTGTTTGCTGCCAAAGAATTGTACCCATGTGGATATTCTGCAGACAAGCTTAAGAAAATTTTAACTTGGGAGGTATAAAAATGTACCAGTGCCTCACGGATGACAGAAGCTTTGGGTGCAGTATCAAATAAGGGGGACTGAGAAGGTGACCTTGCAGGCTGCTCAAAGGGGACAAACAGAATTAGTGGAAGGAACGAGAAACGTGGACTAATTAATGACTTCTACTGACCTTACACTCAGTGTCGTATATGGGAAGAGAGCTAGTGTCCAAAGAAGACAACTGCCAACAAACAGAAAAAGTAAATCATGACTATGTACTGACAAGAAAATGATCAATGTATTACGAAACAACTTAAAAAATAGTACAAACCTTCTTTCCATCTTTCAGAGGGGAGGGATTTTGATCTGTAACAGGATCAACTGCTCCCTCCGGGGTGACATATTGATCCCAGTTGTGTTGGGATTCAAAAATATCTTCCGGTGACAGAGGATGTTTGGCTGGCGATGGTATACGCGCAATGACTTCTTCATGAGACAGAGTAGTTGATCTCCCAGGCAACTTTAAGACAGCAGCAGAACTAGGTTTTGCCGTCTTAGGCTGATATCTACGATATCTATTGTATCTAAAAGCCCGAAGCTGCGCTGAGAGGCTCCTATTCTGTGCCGACAACTTCTTAAACATAATTTCAGACTCTCTCCTAATGGACAACAACTCTTTCTCTACCGACGATCTGAAATCATCGAAAGCTTTGTCGTTAGAAGTAGAAGAACATCTGGTAGCACCACGCTTGGACTTGGGAGGAGACTGATTGACTCGAAGTTTGGCGGAAACTTGTTTGCGCATTGGGACAACATGTTTCATGTGTATAACGTCATCCTTCTTGTCGGTAAGAGAGATTCGAGGCAAGGAGCAATCGCCGCCCGGCCACTCATTTTTTTAAAAAATGTGACTATCCTGAATCTGTGAGATCAAAAAAGAGATTTTTTTGTCTTTAACTTCATCGTCCCACTCTCCCCAACCCTCTTCGGGTGGCTCAACTTCAATTAATGGTGAAACTGTCAACTGGGGGAAAAAAAGACATTAAGATGTAAGTAACCATGATGATTTAAAGGGAGTATCCATGTGGATGGGGTGTGCAAAAATAACCTTATCGGAGTGTTCGATAGACAAGACGTCCGTAAGGGGAAGGTTGTTCTTTGGAATGCCAACTGAAAACCAATCCAAAAAAGTGCGTCGATCAGCAGACCCATGAATCTTGTCGAGTAAAGAAGGGATATTCCGATATGCTAGCAGCTGAAGTGCTAGCGGGAAGCCTTGCAAACGAAATGACTTCTGTTGCAACTGATCTATGAAAGTTTGCAACGGAGTGGTGCACTTGGTATGAAGCCTGGGTTTCTTTGTCGATGGTTGGCTGAGACATTTTATATCAGGCCTCATCGTCGATATAGTCTTGAGGAAGGATTCTCGGCCCCAAGGGAATGATAGAAAGGCATCGACATCTCTGAGCATTTCAACGTACTTGAATGTGGGTTTGTGAGTCTGGCTAGAGGCGATAAGCACGCCGTCAACAATGAGAATAAGTGCAAGGCGGAGTTTTTTTTCTGGATCAGTAGTTTCCCTATCTTCAAAAGTCTTGCTTATATCTGCTAGCGTGGTCTTCCGATTGGGGCCAATCAACTCATCCCAAAAAGAAGCGTCGGAGGAATCAGCACATGGGTCCAATTCCGGGTCGTAATCTTCAGGAAACTCAGCACATGACAACCCAGAAACGACGCCAAACTCGAGCAACGAAAAGCGGAGGGGGTATCCACCGAAAACTGTCCACAACTCGTACTTCTTCTTGGACAATACTTGTCTGCAGAGAAGCGCGTGGATTAACTTACAAGACATTGGGCACTCGCAGATGCGGAGCCTAAAAAGGGAACCCAAACTAGAGTTCAAAATTCGTTCAAACTCGGGAGTGCCTCGAAGGACCTTGCATACGACTGTAAGGATGTCCGGCCGAGAGTATACATTCAGCCTAGCGTCGGGGTAACGGTCTGTAGCAAAAATTCGCGGAGGTAGACGGAGGTCCCAGCCAGAAGCTTCGTCGGGCAGACCGGAGGACGAGGAAGCGTCGGGGGTAGGTTTGAAAAAGCCAGTGATACGACGGTTTGATACCATATCGGAGAGATCCACCAGTGGGGGGATAACCACGACGGCGTGAGACGATTATGGGTGCGATTTAGATTGGTTCCGGCGGAGTAAAAAATCATGATTAGGGGGATCGGTTTAGAGGAGTAAAATTTGGGGATCTAGGGTTTGGAGTAAAAAATGGAAAGTGAAGACTCTTCGTTTATTATATCTTTTATTAAAGCAAAAACTGTAAAATGAAAAAGTAAATCTCATCATAAATATAACGAAAGAGTGGGTATTCGGTTAGATGGAAGCAGAGGGATACAGAAGTAACTTCTCTTAAGAGAAGTATAGTAGTAGTGGTAAGTGGGTGTAAAGGGGATAAGTTTTCTTAAAAGTAGGTCTAAGTGCTAAATTCTCAATCATATAATATTATTGTATTATATATGTATATGTGTATCAGTGTATGTATGTACTATATTATAAAGAAAACAAGAGGGAGAGAGAGAGCGCAATGAGAGAGAGAAATAATGTGAGAAGTCGTGTTGGGCGTTCGGTGAAACCCGACCGAACCGAACCGAAAGAACCAAAAATTGCGGTTCTCGGTGAAGACTTTTGTTAATGGACCAAACCAACCGGCAAAATTTATTTGTGATTTTGGATTTCGGTTTGGTTCGGTTCGGTTCAGTAATCGAAAACGATCGGTTTCACCTAAACCGAGAATCCACAACAATATATAAAGAAAATGAGACATTTTACCCTAATGTGGTTTCATTTTTTTTGTTCTGGGTTGAAAGCTCAATTAAGATAGCATTGTAAGAATTTAATTATATATTTGATTTAAACTTTTGCTTTGAATTATATTTTTTTTTCTTTTATGTACTTTTTCATTTCTTCATTGTTTTCTTATACTATTAAACGTATAATACATATGCATAATAATATTTTAAGGCTATAAGAAAATTACTTTATCGATGGGATTCAAAAATATTGATTTCCGACTATCGCATCATAAGAAAATCAAGATAAAGAAAACATCTTCATTCTTATACTTTAGATGTTTGTTTCTTTCTCACATATTCATGTATATTTATTTTATTTTCAAAAGTATGTAGTTATTTTAACAAAATAAATCTTGTTATATAATTATCAAACCAATTTGTAAGACATTGAAATAAATAAAATTTATACACAAATAAAGGTAATTTGTGTGTATATTTATAAGCTTACACACATATTTAGATAAATTTCAACATTTTTAGTGGTTTTCTTTATAAAGTTTGAAATGGGGTAAATTTAAAAGGTGGTATTTGAAAAGGGTAATTTTTAAATTCTCCCAATACCATTCTATTAATACCATTCTATTTTTATCATTAACAATATTATTGTTTTATCAAAAAAATACTCAAAAATACTGAAGAAAATAACTATCAAAATTGAACAATTAATCAACGAATAAATTTAAGAGATATGAATGTATGCTTCCATTGTACGATTTAAATAAATAAAGTGTAAAAATGTCATAAGCATTGAAATTTATTTATTCTATTTTTATAAGTAATAGATAAATTAAAATTAATTAACTAAATATACAACAACCCGCACATATGCGCGACATTACTTCGTGTATATATATTTTAGGGAATATACCATTAGTTTGTTATGAGAATTAACTTTAATGATATATTTGTAAAATATTGTTAACTGTTTAAATTTAGTAGTTAATGAGGTTCGAAAATATATGAAATCTTTAACGAGCAAACTATTACAATGTAATTAAACTTTTAGTTTTATTTTTGGATATTTTATATATTTGAAATCGCATTATAATTAGGAAAAGAAATAATTGTATTCAATATTTTTTTATTGTCGATTTGCTATGTCAATTGCTAGTTATTAGGGTGATTGAATTAATTATGTATTTCTGAATAATTTTTTAGAAATTGAATTTTGATTTTTTAAAAGGAAAAACAGAAATATTTCATATCTAATCAATATATTTCAAATTCTTTTATTGTTTGTGCTATATTTTCGAGATTTTATTTTTTAATATGAAGATTTTATGTGAAAATAAGAGATTTTATGTGATATAGAATGTTTCACATGATTTTAGCAAACAAATTTTTAATTATTAATTTAATTAAGATTTTTTCTTCAAATATGTTTAATTATTTTATTTAAGATTATATTTTTGAAAATTTGATGATATAATCAATTATGTTGTATATTTCTCCACATTTTATGATATGTAGAATTTGATTAGTCACTTATTTAATAATCAAACATATTTTTTCATCTTTATTTTTCTTAAATATAAAGTATTGTTTTCAAAAGATATTCTAAAATATAATTAATATTAAATCTGTTTACATATGTTTAATTTCAAATTTAACTGTCCATTTTTTATTTTAATAAAATTAATATGATTTCCATAATAGTTTTTATTTTTTATTTATTTAAATTTTTCTTTTGCTGTCTTTTAGTGTGTTTGGCTACATGGTTGAGATTGTATATTTTGTAATATTTTCTTTCAAGTTTGTTTGGCAAAAAAAACAAATAATGCTCCCCAATTAATAGTATATAGTTACTATTATTATATATGTTTTTTCGTAAAATCCTTTATACACAGTTACACACATTATGCTAAAAAATATATCGGGTCTTGTGCTCCAAACCAAAAATATATCACGATGTCATATATATGTCGGTTGCTAATTTGCTAATTGTCATTACTATCATTGCAAAATCACATAATAACATTGATTTAAATTATTACTTCTAGACTTTAGGAAGGAAAAGTAAAAAAAAAAAAAAAAGTGATTGTGACTTAAAAAAAGAGTCCTAAATTATTGGTTTAAGAAAAGTGAACGTAACAAGAATAAATAGAACAAAGTGGACTGTGACAAAAATTAAAAGACTTTGTAAGACTACTAAATTAATTAAAATGTGATTGGTGACACTTAATTTTTAAATTTTTTATAATGAAATCAAATCTCTTACAGTCTCCATCAAATCACACTATATACATTTATTATTTTTATTTGAGCAAAATGAAAAAAAAATATATAATCATTGATTCATTTCTCATGAAAAATAATTATATATCTATGTATTTGCATATTTGTCCCCAAAATAAAAATCTATTTATTTGCATATTATATTTTGTACTCTCTTAAATGTGATTGGTGAAACCTAATCTTTAAAGATTTAATAATAAAATCAAATCTTTTACAGTTTCCATCAATTCACACTATAAACATTTTCTTATTTTTATATAAGCCATGGAGAAAATGTTTAAGCATTTATTATAAAATAAATAAATATATATATCTATTTATTTGCATAAAATTATACTATTTTTATCTATTATTTGTGTTACTAATCTGAGTTTGTCAGATAAAATTATTGAAATTACAAATTACTTTATAATTTCCTTAATCAAACAACCTCTAGATCTAGATCCGTATTTGAAAAGAAAAAAACACATTAGACAACTCATTATACTAATTATAATTTTATTAAATATTTGTAAGTTTAATACTTAATTACTTTATAATCTCCTTTAAACAAAAAAATCAAATAAATTATCCCACTCTTTACACGTTTCATATTTTATGGTCTGGTCAACGAAAATGGCTGACTCAATTTTTATATATTTGATCTCTCTTGCGAGTTAAGCCAGTAGTAGTAAGAAAGAAACTCAAAAAGTTTTCAGAAGCTCGAAAGAAGCATCCATGGCGATTACAGATTTTTTACCAAGCGAGTACGGATATGTCGTTCTCATCCTCGTCTTGTACTGTTTCATCAACCTTTGGATGGGTGCTCAAGTCGGCGGAGCTCGTAAAAGGTTTCAATCAAAACTCTTTTTAGATTCGTTTCCTTGCGAGACCGATCTGTATCGTTCTTGATTTCTTTGTATGTTTTAGGTTTTGAATTGGATTTTGTAGTTTTGTGATTTTGATTTGAAGTTGATAAGCTTGTTTGATTGAATTTAGTTCTGAATCTGTTTTGATTTGAGGTTGAGAAGCTTGTTTGATTGAACTTAGGCACTTAGCACGATTCTGAATGATTCTGAAGCTGTTTTGATTTTTAAGTTTAGAAGCAAGGTTATTGAACTTAGCAGGATTCTGAATCTGTTTTGATTTGGAAGGTTAAAAGTATTTGATTGAATTTAAAAGGATTCTGGATCTGTTTCGATTTGAAGTTGAGAAGCATGTTTGATTGAATAACTTAGCAGGATTCTGAATGGTTCTGAATCTGTTTTGGTTTAAAGTTGAGAAGCATGTTGATTGAGCTTAGCAGGATTATGAGGCTGTTTCGATTTTAAGTTGAGGTGCATGTTGATTGAACTTAGCAGGGTTCTGAATCTGTTTAGATTTTAAAGTTGAGAAGCATGGTTGATTGAACTTAGAAGGATTCTGAAGCTGTTTGGATTTTAGAAGTTGAGAAGCATGTTTAATTGATTGAAGTAAAGAATCATGTTTGACTGAACAACTTAGCAGGATTCTGAAGCTGTTTTCGGTTTTAAGTTGAGAAGCATGTTTGAGTGAACTTAGTGGTTCTGAGCTGTTTCTATCTTTAGTTGAGAAGCATATTGATTAAACTTAGCAGGTGTTGAGCTGTTTTCTATTTTAAGTTGAGAAGCATGTTTGATTGAACTAGCAGGATTCGGAATCTGTTTTGATTTGAAGTTGAGAAGCATGTTTGATTGAACTTAGCAGGATTCTGAATCTGTGAAGTTGAGAAGCATGTTGATTGAAGTTAGCAGGATGCTGACTCTGTTGTTTGTTCGTTTTCATCAACTCTATTGATTGATTACTAGGAGCTAGATGTCTCTTCGCTCTTGCTTTTCGTTCAAATTGTGCTGATAAATTGGTTTGATTTCCATGGAATTGATGTGAACTGAAACTAAAATGTAATTGAATGCTAGCAGAGTTTTGGTCTCACTATATCCAGTTTCTTCCTGAGTTTACTTGTAAATTGGATCTTGTAATCTTGTTTCGTTCTCATTGGTTCGATTTCTTTGAGAAGCATGTGTGTAGTTTAACAGGATTATGTATCTGTTGTGTTTGTTCATCTTTGATTTTGAAACTCTTTTCTATTAATTTTGGTCACTAATTCATATGAATCTTTATCATTGGTCACTAATTTTGAAACTCTTTTCTATTAATTTTGGTCACTAATTCATTGGTCACTAATTTTGGTCACTAATTCATATGAATCTATGATCATGATGCAGGTACAATGTGCCATATCCAACTCTATATGCTATAGAGTCAGAAAACAAAGATGCTAAGCTCTTTAACTGCGTTCAGGTTTGTTAAAAGTTAAAACCCTTTTCTGTGTAGTTTTGTCTTCTTCTTTTACAACTTGTTTTGATATGTGGTAACTTTACGGTTTTGCAGAGAGGACACCAAAACTCGTTAGAGATGATGCCAATGTACTTCATATTGATGATCCTTGGTGGGATGAAGCACCCTATCATCTGTGCTGTCTTGGGTTTGGTCTACAACGTTAGCCGATTCTTCTACTTCAAAGGTTATGCTACTGGAGATCCCATGAAGCGTCTCACTATCGGGTTTGTTCTTTTATCCTCTATAAAACGTTAATAAGTATCATTACTGATTAGCTCGGTTTAGTTAAGTCAAGAGGATAATTAGAGTATATGCTTGCACATAATGATTGATTACCATATTCCTAAACTAATTTCTTCTGTTATGTTATTAGAGAGTGTTGAGCTAAACTAATTACTTCGTTGATTCCATGTCGTCATCTATGAGTCGAGTTTAGGATTGATAACCTTTGTAATCGACATGTTTTGCAGGAAATACGGGTTCTTGGGTTTGCTAGGTCTCATGATCTGTACCATCTCGTTCGGTGTTACTCTGATCCGTGCTTGAGCCACGCTTTTGTAAGGTTGATGATAGAGATACTCTGAGTTGTTTTATAAGTTTACTTTGGAACCAGTCTTTGTAAGTTGTTCACAAAATTTGTGTGATGAGAATGATAATGTGTTTGTAGTTTTGTACCTTTTGTTTCTTTTACGAGAACTTTTCAAAGTTGTAATAATAAATCATCGCATAATGTAGAAAATTTTAATTTTCACAAACGTCATTAAAGATTTTAGTTTATGTGTCTACAGTTTGTTGATATGGCCCTTGGACTTTGGTTCAGTTTTTCGGTTAATAACGAATTTGAAAATATTGCAAAAACTAATCGAGATAAAATTTGGTTCAATTCGATTCTAGGTTTATTTCGGTTTTGAAATTCGAAAAAGAGAGAAACCAAATTTCCATGTCTTATTTAGATCTGATTTTTCAGTTGGTTCTTGGTAATTTCGGGTAATACGGTTTGGTTATTGAAAAAACTTGGTTTAAATTTGAGCGAAATCAGTCTAATTAATGTATAATCCGGTGAGAAAAAAACAAAAATTTCGGTTAATTAATAACCGAACCAAACTCAACCAAAGCTCTCGGTTGAATTGGGGTAATTCGGTTTGGTTATTGACGAAAATTGTTTTAAATTTAGGCAAAATCGGTCTAGTTAATGTATTAATAACCAAAATTAAGAACCGAACCAAACCCAAGCGAAGTAAATTTTACATTTTACCTTTCTATTAATGGTCTATCTCGGAAACAAAACCGAACAGCCAACAAAAATATTGGTTCGGTTATCTTGGTTTGATACCCAAAAAAATAGAAAAAAAAAACGTGAACGGCAGGATTCGAACCTGCGCGGGCAAAACCCACATGATTTCTAGTCATGCCCGATAACCACTCCGGCACGTCCACTGTTCTGTTCTTTTTTACTAAATATTAAAATTATATATCAAACAGTTAACAGTTTAGAGAATGAGACATAACACGCGACTTGCATGGAAATGAGTCAAAATGACACAACGTGACCAGAGAGAAGCAGACAAAGTGAGACACCTACATCACTACGTGTAATGATTTGTTTCTTTTATTATCATTTTGTTTTTTTCCGTTTTCAATATGAAACGATTAAAATAGTACATTACTAAGAATTTAGGCCTACACAAAATATCCGGATCTACAAATCCAATCCAAATCCCAATTCGAAATCTAGAAATACCTGAATAGGTTTTATATTTTTAAATCTGAAAATCCAAACTTGAACCCGAAACGAACCGAACCGGAATGCGAACGGATATCTGAATACATCCATGGTATAAATAACTCTTAGTTAAATAAATTTATGTAAAAAATTATATAGGTTTTGAAATTTTTGTAGTAGTTTAGACATATTTCGATACTCAAAGTTTGAATTTTAAGAATTTTGGATAATCCAAACCCGAAATACCCGATCTAATTCCGAAATTTAAAAATATATGAACAGATTTTATATTTCTTAATCCGAAAACTCCCAAAAACCCGTAAATCTGAAATACCTGATCCGAACCTGAACGCCCAGACTTAGATCACTACTACTCATCATCGACTTACACATAAGTTTTTTTTTTTTGACTTACACATAAGTTATATAACCATTTTTAGTTAACCCTACAAAAATCATATATATCACTATCCATAGATTTGTATTGCCTTGGTTATATATATACCTTTTCTTTATTTGTTGTTGGCCTTGTCGAAAGGTTTGTTTCTACCGACAGATCGGGTAAGAGTAGTTTCAATTGGTTGTAATGACTCAAAGCCACTTGTGACTTGCCCCACCCCCACGTATGTGTCCACTCTGTTATCACTATTCACCACACAAACAACAATATTACTGATTCTCTTATAGACAACTTGATCACCATTCCCCACCATCACCTAATGATTGATACATTTTGAAGATTTTATAGTACCTACTCAAAATCAATTGGGATATGATTAATTAAAGTACCTATATAGTGTAAAGAAATTTCAAAACTAAAGTTAGTTTGAATAAGAAATGGATGTACAAATTAAGTAACTAGTTTGGAAAGTTTGAATGAGAAATATTTAGGTTGTATCTTAGGAATCTAATCATCATCAAACCATTACACTACTGGGAGAGATGATTACCAAAGTTCTTGTCTCTTTTTCCACTTTCCTCTTTATTCATAGTGATTTTTTCGGTATTGTTTCTATGAACAAAGAGGAAAGCGGAAAAGAAAATCGAGAATTTTGATGATTTTTTTCTCTAAATTTAAAAATTGTTTAGTAGTGGATCGTTTTGGTGATGATGAGAACCCCATGATACAATTGTTTCTTCTTTTGATTCGCTATAATGCGGTCTTTGCTAAGTTATTCGCTATAACCCCATTAATGGAGTTTGAGTTTCCCTAATCTAAGTTATTGGTTCATAAAAAATATATATATGTAACTCAAATTCAGTCCAAGTGTGTTTAGATTCCTCTCTAACCTCCAAAGTAGACATGTTCTCAAGTCTCAAGTAAACACCTTCCTTAATTACAAGTGTCAAGCATTGTTAAGTGTTGTAGTCTAATTAATGTTTCTCTACAAGTGATTAGATTATTTTAACATATGGTTTCTTTTATATTACATTTGAGTGCATGCATGGCGGCCAAAGAGCTAAAAACATATTGGGGACCTGACCACTTCATTCTTTCAAACCAACAACAACCGTGTGGCGTTAATATCGTAATTAAGTATTAATTAGTCGCCATCGCCGACTGCATTATGAACCTCACATGTCCATATGCTTTTACTAATTTCTAATTAATATACATAACTCAGTTTTATAGTAATAAGATCATCAATACCCTAAATACAAAATACTAAATAGCTTCTACGCAAGTGGTTAACCATTTTTATACTTACATTTCTCAAAACCATAAGTTTCGACCTTACATATACCAAAATTAAACCAAAATATACATAACTCTAACTAAGTTCACTGATTTTAATAAACGAATATCAAAAAAATCGATTCGATTTCGCAAAATTTTTTAACATAATTTCTTAATGGTTGAATATCTGAATAATTCATAAAAACCAACCCAACTCGATCTGTATACCCGACCTTGAAGACCTAAATACTGTAGTACTATAAAACTTAGGTTAATAGGTTATATATACTAATATAATCTTAAATACCCTAAATACAAAAATATTATATAGCTTCTACGCAAGTGGTTAACCATTTTTCTACTTAGCTTTCTCAAAACAATTAAGTTTCCCACCTTACATATATAAATAACGTATAAACTAAACTAATATAATAACCCTTATATGATCTTGAATTAAATTTTATGAAAATCAGCAAATTAATTCCGTCATCATCCATTAAAAGCATATAAACTCACATGTACTCAAAAGTTAAATTAGATCAACAACCCCATATGGAAAAATATCTCTATTCATATAAAAGACAAAAAACCATAACACATCAACATCAAAATTAGCTGTTTACTATATTAATCACACAATTATAAACTAAACCAAAGTATCCAAAAAGGTAAGACACATGTTGACCAGATAATAAAAACAAAAGAAAAAGACACTGAAGGGTAAAAACGTCATTTTACACATGCCGAAAAAAATCTGGAACATAGAAGGGTAAAAACGTCATTTTGAAATCGACTCGTACTATAAAAGCTCTATTTGTTTTTGGTAACCGAATAAAAAAAAATCACAAACCCTTTCTTCTTCGTTTCTTCCAGCTTTCTCTTTCTCCTCTCATGTTTCTCGTCATCTTCTAAAAACCTGCAACACCAAAAAATAAAGAATTGAACCCAAAAAAGAAAAAAAAAATGCTCCGATCACGGAATTGTAAGATCTCCGCCGTGAACGACGCCGTTATTTCTAATCGTCTTTCGATTTCTAATCTCAAAGTCTTATTCGTTTTTGAATCCTCGCCATTGAATAATAATAATCGTTTCTCCGATAAGCTTGTTCATTAAGCTTTTGTTCATCCTCCGATCTCTCTGAAGATTCTTTCTTCTTCTTCTTCTTTCCCAATTTTTTCTCCTCAATCTAATTTGTTCACGTAATTCGGATTTTTTCTCTGTTTCGTTCTTCACAAATCTTCCATGGATAAGAAAATTTCGTTTCCTGATGATCTTCCTGAAGGTATAATTGGGAATTTGATTTTGTTTTTGAAGATTTTGAGATTATGCATTGCGATTTCGGAATTGCTTGAATTTTATAAATTATCAGATAGATTTATGAATTGTTAAATCTTAAGAATCAGATCTGTTTCTGGATTTGCATGTGTTGAGTTTTTGGAATCTGTATTGGAATCACAATGATGCGTTATACAGGATTTGTGGAATCTGGTTCTAATTTTGTGTAATATCTTGGATTTTGTATGAATTGTTTGTTGTGGATTTGTGATATATGTTTTTGGATCTTGAACCAGGTACTATCTCTGCGTTAATGGAGAAGCAGAACAATGTGCAGCCTACTGTTATTGTGATTGGTAGTGGTATATCAGGTCTTGCTGCTGCTAGGAATCTTTCTGAAGCATCTTTTAAGGTAATGATGCTATAATCGTGTTAGCTTTTTAGGTTTGTACGTTTTATTTAATGGTGATTTATGTTGTGGGATGTGTTTGTTTTTAGGTGATTGTTCTTGAATCAAGGGATAGGATTGGTGGTCGTATCCATACGGATTATTCCTTTGGCTGTCCAGTTGATATGGGAGCTTCATGGTGAGTTGTGTATTCGACTTAATTGCTGGTTTTGTTTAGTCCTCTTTCATGGCTGATTACTGATTATTCTTGTTTGAAAGATTGGAAAACCTCTGTTTATTGGAGATTCAGATGTCTAGTTTGTAATATTGCTGGTTTGGAATGACTCTTTAAATAGCCTCTGTTTTTATGAGCCTTCTAACTCTTTCTCAAATGTGGTTTAGGTTACATGGAGTCTCTGATGAGAACCCCTTGGCTCCCATTATACGCCGTCTAGGGCTGACTTTATACCGAACTAGTGGGGATGACTCCATCTTGTATGATCATGATCTAGAAAGGTAACTCTTTTTTTTATCTTTACATCTCTCTATTTTTTATGATAGTCCATGGCGTAGATAGCTCTTGTATGTGCTAAGATTACACTAATGGGGTGGTAGCTGCTAGATCTTATTGTTTTAGTTGGCTCATTCTTCTGAGCGTGTAAGATTTACAGAGTAGATGGAGTTCAATCTGACTTCTGACCTTTAGTATATATAAGATC